GCGGCTGCCGACCCACCGGCCACGGCCCGCGCTCCACCTGCTCAGGCTGTCTCGTACAGCCCACCACTGCCGCGCTGCAGCGCATGCAGCGCGCCAACACGAAAGCTCTACTGTTGCGTAACTTTACAATTAACGATATGTACCGTTAAGGTCATAGTTTTCTAGGTTTATTAGATCTCGCCAATTTTATGATTAACGATATCTATTGTTGCGTAACTTTTTGTCACCATCTTTACATAAAACTTTTATGCGAAGCGACGACGAAAGTACAGTGAGATAGTAATAATGTGTGTTTCACTAAACTATCTACCATGAGCCTAATAAATCAATCATCTTCTTCTGTTTATTGGTAGCACTTGAACTCCCGAGTCGACTTTCGATTAGTAATCAGTCACATCGCGCGTCGAAAGTAACGACCTCAAATATAAAACTCAAAACTATAAATTTGTAGACCTCATCGAGGGCTATAACTTTCATATACAAAGTATCTCCATTTGACACCATATAAGAAAAATATGATTTTTCCAAGACCACAAGCGCTTACGCGATTAATATGATGCTGAAACTTTATATTAATTTTTTAAGCATATTAATGATCTCAAATGCAAAAACCCAAAACTATAAATTTGTAGATCCCACCGAGAGCTATAACTTTCATATATAAAGTATCTCCATTTGACACCTTATAAGAAAGATATGATTTTTTCCAAGACGAAAAGTGCTTGTACATGATTAATAGATGTTGAAACTTTATATTATTTTTCTTGAGTATCTTAATGATTTCAAATGCAAAAACTCAAAACTATAAATTTATAGATCCTATCAAAGGATACAACTTTCTCGGTTAGTTCAGTTCGGTTCTCGATTCTCGATAAAATTTGCCCAGGGCTAGCCAACTAGACTGGTGCGGCAAAGTGCAACTTAGGAAAAATTGTATTTTTTATATGATCTCGGATGAATATGGCTTTTATATGAAAATTGTAGCTCTCAACGAGATCTATAACTTTCTAGTTTTGAGGTTTTTAGTTTGAGGTCATTAAGATGCTAAAAAAAATTAAACAAAGTTTCAGCAGTATATTAATCGCGTACAAGTGCTTATTGTCTTGGAAAAATCGTATCCCCCTTATATGGTGTCTAATGAAGATAATTTCTATATGAAAGTTATAGCACTCGACGAGATCTACAACTTTCATGTTTTGAGTTTTATAATTTGATGTAACTAATGTGCTCAAAAAAATTAAATAAAATTTTAGCAGTATATTAATCGCGTACAAGTGCGTATCGCTTTGGAAAAATCGTACCTCTCTTATATGGTGTCAGATGAAGATACTATTTGTATGAAAATTGTAGCTCTCAACGAGATTTACAACTTTCTAGTTTTGAGTTTTTTTAATTTCATGTCAATAAGATACTCACAAAAATTAGGCAATGTTTCAACCGTATATTAATCACGTATAAGTGCTTATCGCCTTTGAAAAATCATATCTCATATATGGTGTCAAATGAAGATACTTTCTATATGAGAGTTGTAGCATTCGACGAGATCTACAACTTTCTAGTTTTGAGTTTTCCAATTAGAGGTCACTAAGATGTTCAAAAAATAATAATATAATATTTCAGCATCCTATTGATCGTGTACCCGCTTTTTTCGCCTTCGAAAAAACATATCTTTTTTATACGGTGGCAAATGAAGATACTTTTTATATAAAAGTTGTATCTATTCATGAGTTTTACAACTTTGTAGTTTTGAGTTGTTTCATTTGAGGCCGTTATCTTTTTTGTGCTATGTCGAATTAAGTTTTTTCATTTAACTTTCTTCCGCCAGATAGCAACCATTGCGATGGTCTTGTCTCTGATAGAGGTTTCTCTCTACGCGATGGACCTGCACTTGCATAGAATAGAGGCAACCTTAGTCGGAAAACCTTCGCCACGGTTGTTACTTGTCCGGGGGTTTTCATTGAGAGCCGCTGAAGGTCCCTCTTGACAGCCGAGGGTTCGCTGGTACAGTTTGCATAAAAGGTGCTCCCCCAACACACACTATTACTATCTCATTTATATTTTTATCCTCGCTTTGCATAAAAGGTTAATCCAAAGATGGTGAAAAAAGTTACTATTAATTGTAAATTTGGCGAGGTCCAATAAACTTAGAATCTTTTTGTTCCTATCTGGTATCTAGGGCCTGTTTGGTTTGTTGTCATAACTTGCTGCAACGCAGCTATGGCATGCCACAACACGTTTGGCTCATGCCCTACTTGAGGCATGCCAAAGAAAACAGAGGATGCTCTAGTGTATTTGTGCCAAAGCTAGCTAAATGTATGGAGGGGAATTTGAGCGCCGCACCTTAGGCACAACTTCCACTGAGAAGGAAATTTATTAGGGGCTCTTGTGTTTTTGCCCCTATTTTGATGTGCAATTATGATTTTACCCTCGTTTTTTTAACTTTGTGATTTTATCCTTCACTGTTAGCAAGTCAACGCAATTTTGCCCCTAGTCAACGGTCAAAACAGGGGCAAATTCATAAAGACCAGGGGCAAAATCGCGTTGACTTGCTAACAGTGAAGGGCAAAATCACAAAGTTAGAAAAACAAGAGCAAAATCACAATTGCACTTCAAAATAAGGGACAAGAACACCAAAAACCTAATTTATTAATAATTTGAATAAGTTAGTTAATCGAATTTATAAAAGGTTTTATTAATATCTAATGCTACTGCTACCTGCTGCTGTTTTTTTTAAGAAGTGGCCAGCTTGGAATTTTATTTCGGAGATACTAGAGCCCGGGACGGCGGGACATACGCCGTGCTTGGCCGCCGTCTTCGTTTCACGTGCGCCCGCGGGTATGCGGGAAACACCGCATCTCCATCCCGGTTATAAAGTTGTAGATCCCATTAAGAGTTACAACTTTCAGAAAGTATCTTCGTTTGACACCATACTAGAAAGATACAATTTTCTAAGACGACAAGCACTTATACGTGATTAATATACTGCTAAAATTTTTGTTTAATTTTTTAAGCATTTAATGACATTAAATTAAAAAACACAAAACTAGAAAGTTATAGATCTCATCGAGAGCTACAATTTTCATATAGATAGTATCTTCATTTGACACCATATATGATATATATACAATTTTTCCAAGGCGATAAGCACGTGTACGCGATTAATATACTGCTGAAACATGGTTTATTTTTTTTGACCAGCTCAATGACGTCAAATTAAAAAACTCAAAACTATAAAATTGTAGATTTTATTGAGTGCTCCAACTTTCATATAGAAAGTATTTTCATTTGATACTATATAAGAGAGATACAATTTTTCTAAGGCGACAACACTTGTATGCGATTAATATACAACTGAAACTTTGTTTAATTTTTTGAGCATCTCGTCGAGAGCTATAATTTTCATATAAAAATCATCTTCATCTGAGATAATATAAAAAATATACAATTTTTTTAATGTTACACCTTGTCGCGCGTGTGGCGCTACAGTACTGCCGCGCCAACGGGAGTGGCACGGCGACGATTTCGATGTGGAAATCGTTGTCCGACGTGACAGATTGTGCCGTGTCCATGCATGTAGCGCGACAACGTGTTTTGATCGCGCCACGGACTTAGGTGTGGCCAAACGGGTTAGAATATGAAAATAAAAATAACAAGATGTTAGATTTGAAATTTGTTTTTAAAAAAGGTTAAAAAATCCCGGCAGCTCGGTGATGCAAGCATGGATCAAGCAGCACAGCTAGCAGTATTGTGATACAGTATGAGTAAATGGAGAGATCGTTGGTCGTTACATGTACGCATTATTAACGGGTAGTGGTTGATGCTCGGGCTCCATCCCGCTGTCGTGCGAGTCAGGCCCTATTCGTTTCGCTAAAATTAAGCTTATATTAATGTTTATATTAATTTGTTGTGAGAGAAAAATATTATTTGTTTATTGAAAAATACTGTTGAAGTAGTGGTGCAGAACAGGACATTAACTACTGCCAAATGTTCCTATAGATGGATGGAGTTTGTTAGAAGTCCCTATAGTTAGAGTCTAAGCGATCGGGAAAAAAAACTCAACGAGGGCCTTGTTTAGATGACATCAAAGTTTTAAGTTTTTTTATTCTCTCTTCGTCACATCAATTTTTGGACGCATGCATAGAGCATTAAATATAGGTAAAAAAGTAACTAATTGTACAATTTGGTTGTAAATCACGAGACGAATCTTTTGAGCCTAATTAGTCCATGATCGGACAAAGTTTGTTAAATACAAACGAAACATGCTAAAGTGTCCGAATTGCAAAAATTTACAATCTAAACATCATGGCCGAGCTCTAGCATTGTAACGACTAGCTTCTACGAATGATTAATGAGCCCCCGAATGAGACGTAAGAGTTTTTTTTGTACGATCCAATCATGGCAGTGGACGGGGGAGGACCGTGCCATGCGATAGCCGATAAGCCTTGAGCCCTTGACGCCCCGTCTCGTAATCCTCGGCCACGTCGGCCACTCCCGTTCTTATCCGACGCCTCGCTGCCGGAAACGGTATGTGCCAGGACGAGGAGTTTATCCGACGCCTCGCTGACGCGCCCTCGCCCTGCAGCACGCGTGTCCCGGGGGTCGGTGGCCGCCCCCGTCGCCCCCTGTCCCAGAAGAACCAACCTCCTTCTCGCTATATCCGTCCCACGGCGCCGCGCTTCGGTCCCTCCCAAAGACCCAAACGTGTACGCGTCCCGTGTCCAAAACATTCTGCGGCCTGTTGGAGGGCAGCACCTAGTATCAGGCTGGTTCTAGTCTAGCTACTACCTGGCACTAGCTGGCTTCTTTCTGCCCTGCTGCGGCCAGAATCGGAAACCACAGCGGTAGCCGGCAGGCAACCTTGCGGCGCCCGCGTGGAGGCGGCGCATAAAGCCAGCCGGCGCTCCTGCAAGCGCAAACAATCCCCGGCCTCCTCTGTTCTCTCTCCCAACTGGTAAACAAAACTGCTTCCGGCCTTCCTCGACCTCGGGCTCGATCGGTCCATGGCTGTCGTCACGAGAGGCGCCGCGTCCCTGCCCCTCGTCTTGCTGCTCCTACTAGTCTTCTTCTTCGCGGCCCCGTCGCCGGCTGACGGCTGCGACCGCTGCGTGCGCCGCTCCAAGGCCACCTACCAGGCCTCCTCGCTCGCCCTCAACGGTACGCACTACACAGGCGTCCCGCCGCTCGCTGCCTTGTGCGTTTCGGAGTCCGTTTCTGTGGCGTGCAAGATTAATTGATTGATTCGTCTTTCGGTTGCTGAATGAATTGCGCAGCCGGTTCGTGCGGGTACGGCTCCTTGGCCGCGTCCTTCAACGGCGGCTTCCTCGCCGCGGCCAGCCCCGAGCTGTACAGGGGCGGCGTCGCCTGCGGTGCCTGCTTCCAGGTACCTTCTTTACTTCTTCCGGAGGCCGGAGCTGTCGGCAGCAATTCCTCTGTTTTCTTGGTGGGCGAATTTGGATCGTATGTATGTAAGCAAGGAGTGGCATTGCAGGTGCGGTGCAGGGACACCGAGCTGTGCAGCGCGGCGGGCGCGAAAGTCGTGGTGACGGACCAGGCGCGGACGACGTCGAACCGCACGGGCCTGGTGCTGAGCGCCGCGGCGTACGCGGCCATGGCCACCAGCGCCGGCAAGGCCGCGCGGCTCAGGGGCCGGCGCGTCGTCGACGTCGAGTACAAGAGGTAGTTTCCTCTGCTCTGCTCCTTGTCGCTGCGCGGGTGCCGTGCGACAGCACGGTGTCCGTAGTTAGTGTCAGCTCAGCTTTCACTCCCACCACGTGCCGACGATGCAGCAGAGCTCGTTCTGTGGGAGAAGGACTAAAAGAGATGGATTTTGTTTGTACGCCCAGGATACCCTGCGAGTACGCGAAGGACCGCAACCTGTCGATACGCGTGGTGGAGAAGAGCCGGCCGCCGAGCAACCTATCCATCAGGTTCCTGTACCAGGGCGGCCAGACCGACATCGTCGCCGTCGACGTCGCCACCGTAAGCTGATTTCTTCCTTAGTATACTCTAGTAGTACTGTACTACCAAACAGAGACATTTCTCTTCTCGCCTGTTTGTTTGTTGTTTTCCCAACGAGTTTTGAAAGCGGAGGTCAGCAAGCAACGGTTCGATGGAATTCACCGTCGACTCCATCGTGACGCCGTTCGCGTGCGTGTGGTTTGTTTTTGGCAGGTCGGGTCGTCCAACTGGCGGTTCATGACGCGGGACCACGGGCCGGCGTGGAGCACGGCGCAGGCGCCGGCGGGGCCGCTGCAGCTCCGGCTGGTGGTGACCGGCGGCTACGACGGCAAGTGGGTGTGGGCGGAGTCGGAGGTGCTGCCGCGCCGGTGGGAGGCCGGCCGCGTCTACGACACCGGGGTGCAGGTCTCCGACGTCGCGCAGGAAGGCTGCTACCCCTGCGACACGCACGAGTGGCAGTGACGCCGCACGGGCTGGATTGTAAATTGTACAGCTCTTTTTTTACCGTCCATTTTCGGATGGATGGGCGACAGATATGAAATGATGAGCGGAATCGGAGAGTCAAATCAAATCAAATCTCAAACAAACGCGCCGTTGCAACTGGGTTTCGGCCGTGTTGCTCCCCTCCACTCACTTCTTGGGTGAGCAGCGGAGTTGGAGCGCACGATGCGTGTGCTGTGTGCACGATGAATGAATGGCTTGGTCGTCCCTCGTCAGCGATGTGGAGTGCTTCCCGTTTGGCTCCCTCAGGACCACTCGTTCCGAACTGAACGGGCAGATGCCGTCGTCATGACGCGGAGGTGAGGTCAGAGTCATCAGACCTCACACGGAAAATGTCCAACCGGAACGAAAGAAAGGTTTGGCAGATTCAACAAATCGCGCCCTAAACATTTCCATACCAAGCAACGAGCAACGGCTACAAAAGCGCTTGTGTAAAAGCACAGCCCACGTATTGATCTCGTGACGACGTCTGCTATGTCTGGGTGCTGCCGTCGATTCTTTCATCGGCGCTGGAACAGAGTAACCGGTACATGGAATTCAGCAGTTGCAGACCATTAGGTGGGCGTTCAGTCAGTGGTTTCCACGATTGACGATCCCCCAGAGAATCCTTAATTTCGACATGGGCCTTGAGGCTCCCGGGCCACAATTTTGCTTTCTTTCATCTGGAGTGTATGCTCAGAGAAACCGTTCGTCAGGTAGGGCTGGTGTAACAAAAGCTTAAGGCTCGTGATCTACTCCCGTTAGGGTCGTAGAACAGGTCAAACTGTAATGTAAACGACCCACGCTCAAGCAGGAGTAGGCATAACCTAGAGCTCGTGCGTCACTACCACATTTCAAATTACAAATGAAAGTTGGAGCCTAGCTGTGGTCTCAGCTCGACCTTCATACCAAGCTCAAACTTTGAGGCCATCAACTCGTTGGACTGCTCGAGCTCAGTTCATTTGCAGCCTCTGGCCCCGTACGCTTCGATGAAAAAACAAGCGGAAACACTGTTCCGACTGATTTGTTGTGAGAGAAAAACACTGTTCCGGCTGGAAAAAACAAGCTGAAAAAGACGGATTACAAGAGATGCTGAAAAAAACATCGGCTCTGATTGGCTGTGATTTTTGTTTTACAGCTGCAGGCTGTAGCTGCAACAATAGCAAAGAGAAATTTAAAGCGGCGTAACAGCGGATGCTGGAGCAACAATGTCCGAGGTAGCCCTTCCCATCAGAGCAATCGTACCGGCTCTATCCTCTTGTTCCACGTCGAGCAATCGTAGCATATGACTCTTCTCCCGGCTTCGTCGCCGCTGCTCATCAGCAGAGCACAGGTGCACCTCACTTAAAATCGGACGCCGAACGCGCGATGGTATGCGCCGCCTGCTATGTACGGAGATGTTCGGTAGATTCTCTTCGCTTGATTGAGCGCGCTTGGACCGAGCATGGCAGCAGAAGCAACAATTTGCAATGCCGTGTTGCTGAAGTAGTTCAAGCGAACAAGGCAATATATGAAATGTTTCAGACTGGAAATTCGCTACCTCCCTAATCTGGATACGAAGCAAACCTGATGGTTCCTCGTCCGGAAGGCACATTGATCGCGTGCGTTGTTCTCTGATTGGGATTTGGGAACATTGTAAGTTAGATGAACGCTCAATTCATTCATGTGTGCGGTGTACAGGTACATATACAGGGTGCCGATCACTGCTGTCCAAGCAATACTAACAGACTCCTAGATGCTTGGATCAGCTAAAGACCAGGGCGATTACAGTAGCCGTTCTAGTTACAACTGACAGTCCTAGTCTTATGCTAGCTAACAGAACTCTAAAGACTCGGCTGCTGACACCCCCCCTCAGTTGTAGCTTCATGTGATCGAATGCACAAGCTTTCCCTGAACTCAGTGAACAATGGCGAAGGGAGTCCCTTGGTCACGATGTCTGCAAACTGGTACCGTGTAGGTATGTGCATCACCTTGAACTGCCCTAAGGCCACCTTCTCCCGCACAAAATGAATATCAAGTTCGACATGCTTAGTCCGTCGGTGGTGAACTGGATTCTCAGAAAGATAGACTGCAGATATGTTGTCGCAATAGATCACCGTGGCTTTGTCAATGACGACATGGAGCTCTCGAAGAAGATTGCGGAGCCAGCAGCATTCGGCAGCAGCATTGGCCACTGCTTGGTATTCAACTTCGGTGCTCGATCGTGAGACAGTCGTTTGGCGCTTGGATGACCATGACACGAGAGAGTCACCAAGAAACACGCAGTACCCTGATGTCGATCGCCGAGTGTCAGGACAACCAGCCCAATCGGCGTCAGAGTAAGCCTTGAGTGTCGTTGATGGAGTAGCCGAGATTTTGATGCCGAGCTGAACTGTGCCACGAAGATATTTGAGTATGCGCTTGACAAGATTCTAGTGCACATCACGCGGGGCATGCATATGAAGGCAAGCTTGATTGACCCCATAAGCAATGTCTGGCCGGGAGAGAGTCAAGTACTGGAGCGCGCCGGTGATGCTGCGGTAGAAGGTGCCATCCGTCACAGCCTCGCCTTCATCTGCTGACAGCTTGGGCTGGACCTCAACCGGGGTGGTGACTGGCTTGCAGTTGGCCATCCCTGCCCGTTCCAGAATGTCTTCTGTGTACTGAGCTTGGTTGAGATGGAATCCGGAGGCATCGCGGCGCACTTGTACGCCGAGGAAGAAGTGGAGGTCACCCAGATCCTTGATTGCAAAGGTACGACGTAGCTGATCAACTATGCTGTGTAGAAGGGCGGCCGATGAAGCAGTGAGGATTATGTCATCAACGTACACCAGAAGATATGCCGCATTGCCCCCTTTTGTGTAGATGAATAAGGAGCTGTCAGACCCTGATGCGACGAAGCCCATGCTGATGAGGTGTTGTCCAAGACGCTGGAACCAAGCCCGTGGTGCCTGCTTGAGGCCATAGAGAGACTTGACGAGCAGACATACATGATCTAGGTAGTTTGCGTCTACGAAGCATGCGGGTTGATGACAGTAGACACGCTCGGCGAGGTTGTCGTGCAGAAATGCGTTCTTGACATCGAGTTGGTGAACTGGCCATTGACGTGTTGCAGCCAGGTGAAGAACCGTGCGGATGGTTGCTGGCTTGACCACCGAAGAGAAGGTCTGGTGAAAGTCGACGCCCGGGCGTTGGGAGAACCCGCGCACGACCCACCGCGCCTTGCGACGTTCTAGGTTGCCATCTGGGTGCAATTTGTTCTTGAAGATCCATTTGCCGGTGATTATGTTAGCTCGATCGGGTCTGGGCACAAGTGTCCAAGTGCCATTGTGCTGCAGCGCGTCGAACTCTTCTTGCATCGCAGCTTTCCACTCTGGGTCCCGTAGTGCGGCACGAACGGATGTTGGAGGCGGCGACGGTCCGGGCGTGGTCACCACGTGCGCGTGTTTTGGATTGGGCATATGAATGCCGTCACGCGCACGAGTAACCATCGGGTGGCGTAGAGGTGGCACAGTCGGGGAAGATGCCGGTGCAGTAGATGATGACGCTGGAGCAGGCGAGGCCGGCGCGGTCACCATAGCTGCAGTGGGTGACGGCGACGCGGTGACCGGCTCAGCAGCGGCATCCGTCGACTGCGCACGAGGGGGCGAAGTCGTGGTCGAGCCCCCAGATGCGGGCGGCGATGCCTCAGGTGGTTGAGGCCCCATCCTTGTAGCTCGTGTCAATGTGGCTGCTGGTGCACGATGTCGAGGGCGGCGCGCACCGGTAGGAATGATCACCTCCTCCGGTTCGCACGGCGCGCATGAACAGCTCGGCGGCTGTGCTGCTATGTCAACCTGCGCAAACAGGAAGCAAGTCTCGTCGAAATAGACGTGACGTGATATGATTACACGTTTGGTTACGGGTAGGGATGAAAACGAATCGGATACGAACGGATATCACAGATATTACATTTGTTTTTATATTTTTTGTCGGACTCGGATTCGAATACGGATAGTGTCAGCCATGCCGGATAGGATACGATTCGATGTCGACATCATAAATATGTGATTTGAGTATTCGAATACGGATACGGTATCGGATGTTGAATATCCGTACTCGAATATGGACAGATCTGAACCCCTCTAGACGGATTCGGTCTCGAATACGGTAAAAAAATATCCGTAAAGTTTTCATCCCTAGTTACGGGGTTATAGCACTTGTAGCCCTTTTGATCAAGGGGATATCCGAGGAAGACGCAACGCTCAGATCGCGGTGCCAGTTTGTGCGGCGCGGTGGCGGCGAGATTTGGGTAGCAGAGGGACCCAAAGACTCGGAGGTGGTTGTACCTGGTGGCAATCAAGAGAAGTTGAAGGGGTGGAATTGGCACGCGGCCGGCATGGACGGGCGATTAAGTGTATGTTGACGATGCGAGAGCATCAGCCGTAAGCTTGGGGGATTGATGCTCAAAACAAGCAAGGCGCGGACTCCATCATTGAGTGTTCGCAGGATGCGTTCAGCTCGCCATTCTCATTGATGACGTGTATGGAGTCAAAGTGAAGGGCAATGCCGCGTGTGGCAAAGAAGGTCCGGGACGCCGAGTTGTCGAATTCTCTATCGTTGTCTGTTTGGAAGCACATTATGGGTGCCTGAAATTGTGTGCCAACAAATGCGTGGAACGAGATGAGCGTGGGTAGAACATCAGATTTGTGGCGCAAGGGGAATGTCCAGATATAGTGTGAGTAGTCATCCAATATCACAAGATAGTATTTGAACCCGGAATTGCTTAAAATTGAGAGAGGTCCATACATCACAAAGTGTAATATTGAAAAGGAACTCGATTTAAATATTATTGGAATTGCTAAATGGAAGGCGTACATGTTTGCCTCGATTTGGAGCATCACAAGTGTGGCGATTAGACCGAGAACATGAAAAACCAATGGAACGGGACAGCTTCAAGAGTGTCATGCTCGGGGTGTCCTGCACGAGCATGCCAGAGCTCATTGTCGTTGGATGCAAGAAGT